CCCCCCCCCCCGCGGCGCTGCGGGTAACCGTGCCCACTGTCACGGGTGGGAGTGGGGCAGGGTGCTCTCTGCTTCCCCTGGGCAAGCGCACCCCGGCCTCTGCCTGCATGGGTGCCGGGGCTGGGGCAGAGGCGCCTCTGCCTCCCTCGGGCAGGGGAAGGAGGAACCAAAATACTCCCGGAGTGAGCCAGAGGGGATGGTGGGAGAAGGCCAGACCCTAGGGAATGGCAGGGACCAGGGCCAGCTTCTCCTCCCAGACCCCTACCCCCGGGACAGTGCATCCATCCAGAGCCACCTCCCCGGCCACAGGCTTCCCAGACCCATGGGCCGCCCCATGGCGGCTCCTGCAGACGTGCACAGCCTCAATGGCTCAGCCGCCCTACTGCCCCTTCAACCACCCCCGCCCCTGGACACCCTGCCCCATGCAGCCCCACAGCCCAGCCCCCTGCCCCACGCACACACCTCGCTTCGCCGCCTCTCCTCCGTGTATCCCAGTGCCAGCACCAGCTCCCGCCGCTTCTCCCAGCTCCGCTCCTGGGTGTCAGCACGCAGGGACCAAACGTTACAAATGCCTGCAGCTGCTGTCCCCAAAAATACCCCCTGATGACACGCTGGGTTGATAAGGCTGAGCCTGCTCCATTCAGCGCCCCGCCGGGGCAGGGCTGGCCTATGTATAGCAGCCTGGTGGCAGCCACCCGGCCCAGAGCGGGCAGGCAGCACTCGCACCTCCGGCGATCAGGCATGCCGCAAACCTGGCCGTGCCTCTGTGCCAGGCCAGCCTGCGGCAGGAGGCAACACACCACACGGGGTGCACGGCATGGGGTGCACGGCATGGGACACCAGGCTGCAGCAGGACGGGACATGCCACACAGGACATGCTGCGCAGGGTGGGATGTGCCGCGGCAGATGCTGCATGATGGGATGGGATGGGATGGGATGGGCTGCACGGGCCATGCTGTGTGCGATGCCACGCTGTAGGAGGAGTGGAGGGGTGCAGAGGCTGCCCATCGCCCTGCAGGCAGGGCTGCTGGATTTGGGATGCCTGGCTCTGTCCCCACAGGCAGTGGCTGGAGGAAGGGCAGTACACGCTGGGTCCCCTCCCAGCCTGTGCCCCTCCTGCCCCAGGAGCCAGCCTTTGGCCGGCCAGCCCAAACAGCACCGTGGCATCCTTCTCCCAGAGCTGCTGCAGGGTCTCCAGCTGGCCTGGATCATCCTCACCTCTTCCTCCGCTCCTGGTCCAGCCTTCCTCAGCCCCAGGTAGCACAGGGACCTCTCGCCAGCCCTCCTGCTTTGCATCCCCAGGACCTTGCTCCAGGCTGCCCTGGAAATGCTACAGCCCCCCCCATCCCCCAGCCTGCCCTCCCTAGAGCCCCCTCCTCACGTCCCAGCTGCCCCATGACCCTGGGGTGTCCCAGCCATTCCCAGCAGGAGGATGTCCAGCCCACTACCCCCAACATGGCCCCTAACACTGGGGCCTTGCAAGGCTCTGGACCCCGTCAGGTCCCTGCCCAGCTGTCCCTGCTGTGCATAGCCACTGTCACCTCCCACTGTCCCCCCAGAAGCCCTAAATCTGCAGCTCCTCCAGCACAGCAGGGCACCCAGCACCGGCAGCTGCAAAGCT